GTCATCCATGTTGAAGGGCAAGGAATGTGATTGTGAAATGAAGTGCTTTGAGGTAGGAGATATAGAGGCAACTTTGAGGACTTTCAGGACAGGTTTATTATAGTTGTTGTGAAATATACCCAGATTACATATCTTAGACGTACTTATTATGTAAGTCGGTTCGGTGCCACCAACATACATTCTTAGAACCAACACTCACGTTAGTGGCCGTTGCCTCCGTTTGGCTAAACAACTCAACCTGTGCATGATGAAGAGCGGTATCCCTTTAGTTGGCGTTTCGGCAACAATACATAAAAAGTGGAATAGCGGGACTGCTTACATAAATGGATAAACCAATGAAATTATGATACAATGCTCGGATAATTGTATTATTGGGTCATGTTCTTATGTAAGAAGCCCTGTTACTCCACTTTTTATGTATTGTTGCTGAAACGCCAACTAAAGGGATAGCTTGTTGCCCCACAAAGCTAGCGATCGAAGCCGAAGAGGGATCATCTGACTTTCATACCTAATATTGTTTGCTTAAGCCGCCGCTTAAAGGAGTGTGATACCGCCTCATCTGACAGACATAACCACTTAGCCAGGTAACATCTACTGGAATTCACATCTGGCTTTTTATTCTCAATAATCTGATGCTTTCATGTGTATTTATCTTTCCCATGATTGCCATGCTCAGTTAAGCTAGGAGATATACAGGTATCACATCCTTACTGTCACCATCTCTCTAGCTGACATCTCGAGCTTTCAATTATGAGATGGTCACGATTGTACGCTCACTCTTTTATTCCAGGACACAGAATGATGCACTTTAGCTATCACGCTTGTCATTATATCAATCCCATAATCATGTTCATCGTAGTGATACTGCTGTGTGCATCGGTGCCAGGGAGGCCTTGTTGAAAGCACATATTGTCTCTACGCAGCAATTGTCAAAGCCTCATTGATATGGGAGAAGAGTTTGCCTTCGCTTCAGCTTTCATATGCTAAAACAGCCTGCATATGTGTGAAAGAACTGCACCCATGCAACATAGAGACGGGATATTAGGCGTTTTTTGACTTCTAAGCTTCTTATGTCTTAACTCACCCCAGGTCCAGCTCACCTGCTAGGGAAGCCAGTTTGTCAATACAAAAAGCGCAAGTAATATCTCTCTCCCCGGGCTGGGAAGCATTCAACCCGTCACATCAACTCTCTTATGCATTCTACCTCCATCGGAATCTACTAATATGATGCCAACTTACTTCCCACTTCAGCACCCGGGTCAAGCCTCACCAGGTCCATTACAAGGACTGGCTCAGAATTATGCTTGTCAGCCCCAGCCTCCTAGCCCTATAACTCCATCTAAAAGACAAGTCGATGAAGAAGACGATGATATCCAATTCATCTCCGAGAAGCCTGTGAAGAAACCCAGAACGAGTGAAAATCGGCCTACAATGCCCGTGACCGAACAATCAATGATTCCTTTGGCTGCAACTACTGTTCCTCCTGCTGGTCCAAGTGTTGCTATATTGGCAATGCCAATGCCTGACAGCGACTTGAGGGACACAGAGAGGCGATTGAGCACGGGAATGGTCAGCCTACCACACGATATCAACGCAGTGGAACTTAGTTACGCCCTGAGGGGAGTTTCCATGCCAGTGCTAGAGAACTTTGCGCTTGACCAGCCTTTCCGTAAGCCTCGGCCGCCGAGTCCTCCTGAACTCTCACCAAAACAACTTCCATTTACAGTCTCTCCGGCAGATCTTAATGCCCAACGACATCAAAATGTACCTGAAACATTCAACTTTGGGAATCCCTCAGGCTCCCGCACTCTCTGTACAAGTTCGAGTCATACTTCTTGCCGCTCCGAGACTCCAGCAACGACAGCAGATTCGACAAAGACTTCACTTATCTCTCAGCAAACTCATGCTTCAGAGACGCCTACCTATGCCGGCGGTTATACCAATCCAACCTCGTCCAATTACGAGAAGAGGGTTGATCCACATAGTATATCAATGCCCCCTGCCTCTTCACCCTATTCGGAAACTCCTCACCACTCACCTTGCTCGGGAAGTAACCCTAAATCATTAGAAAATCATCATCACAATACCTCGACTCACCCGCAGAAGCAGCCGTGTCAGGTATGTTCACGGTTGAGGCTCCAGGCCCAACTTTCGCGGGCGCAGGGCCTACCGATAGTAAACACGGCTCTCCCCCCTCACTTGACACCGCAGCTGCACTACCACGCGCCTTACGGGCAACATATACATCCCCAAATGACGGCAATACCCACGAGTAATATGCACCGATTCGGGCCGAACTTCGCGCCAGTAATGATGCCAGTGAGCAGCAATGCCTTCGTCCCTCTACCATCTCAACCCCAGAGTCTGCAGCAACAGATAACTCCCCCGCAACAAAAGGGAGCCGAGAAAGACGAACAGTCTACCCCTGAACGACCTGGCAAAACGCAACCGCCCCAGGCAACCCAACCAATGGATATGGTAGCCAGCTCCAATGCCGTCTCGAGCCCCTTAAAGCCGCCCGCCTCTCTCATTCAGCCCACATATCGCAAACCCTCGCCCAATCTAGTCGTCGACGTAGCCGAGACATGTCAAGAGAAGTTCCCATTCGAAGAGGTTGCGAAAAGACACAATGTGCCGGTAGACAAGGTCTTCGACGTTTTTGCTGCCATCATCCAGGTCAGTCCGCCGGAGTCTATTGTGCCCCCTTTTGACATGTCTCAGTGTAACGAGTTGCCTAATTAAGGGGGAGTTTTTTTTTTAAAAAAAAAATTCTTACTACTACTGCAACTCCCTGGATTACTTCATTTTTCTTTACCACGAATAGCAATGACTGACTCCAGGTTTTACAATAGGTCCCCCTCTTACGGTGTCCGACAGACCGCCGAAGACAGGGGAGATTGGCCACAGCACGTATCAAGGAGTACAACAAAGCGAAGAAGGACATTCAAGCGTCTGGAGCGGGTAGTAGCGAGGATCAGAGGGCGGAGGCTACGGTAAATTCATCGACTATCGCCCAGAGATTGGGACCTATTGAGTTCCCAGAGGGGTTCACGATGAGTGGAAGTGGAAGTTCATGAAGCAGTGAGACAACATACTATGATTATTCTCAATAATGTACGAATCTTAAGTAGTCACGGGAGAGCCATAATGTCTACGTTACTATGTCTGTACTGTAAACCTACCGCTTGTTGGGACTTCGACCCGGAGTAAGATTATACTTGCCTTTGCGCACTGCAGTCTTGCCGTTGTCTTCATCTGCAATTCGTTGCCAAATGTCGAGATCTTCTTGATTGTCAATCAAATGGCTACTATTTCGTTGCGCAGTGGGATGGAACCCATTTTGTGCAGCTCTCGCTTTAAACGAGCTGGGTGACGAAGACGAAGAAGATGAAGAAGATGATGATTTCGACGACTTCCCTTTCCGAACATGCGTCTTTCCAGTCTCGGGGACATCCTTCGACAACTGCCGCCATCGACTTATCTCTTCCTGGGATTCCGCATCTACCACGGGCAATGAAGGCGATGGCGCGGGGGTTTCGGTTTCAAGCCGCTCTTCATGAAACCTTTCTTTGAAATCCCTCAAAAGCTTCATCTTTTCCGCTCTCTTCTCTCTCCGCTGTGAACTACTCATAGTAATGGTTTGCTTCGTCGCGGATCCAGGGGCTCTCATCCCCGTCAGCTGGGCGAGAGGAGTCGAGATGCGCGGCCGGGCATTCTGCTCTATCTCAACTTCCCTTCCCTTGCCCTTCTTCTTCTTCCTCTCCTCCTTCGCTTCCCACTTCTCCAACTCCCTCTCGCGCTTCTCCCTCAGCTTGAGCAGCAGGTATGGATCGACTTCGTGCAGCTGCTTGCGGTACGTGATGAGGGCCCAGTGTCCGTTGATGAGCTTGTACTCCTTCTGGACGACTTCCTTCCCGTCGAGGGTGAGATGCGCCGTATCGCGTCGGCCATCGTCCGATTCCGAGTCGGAATCAGGCTCCCACGGCGCCCTCCGGCTTCTGCTTCCTCTGCCACCCCGTGAGTATGCGATAGGCGACAAGGGGGATAAGGGAGGCGAGCTCGGAGCTGGAGCGGATCCGTACATCAATTTCTGCGTCCCGGCTAAGTTCAGGTGCATACTGCGACTCAATTCGTTCCCACGCTCCGCGAGGCTCTGTATCTTGGTAGCACGCTCTTCATACCCGGAACCCTTCAGCTGCGACATTAGTTCGGCCGCGCGGGCTTTTCGTTTCGGATCGCGACTGTCGATATAGCTCGCTGAACCCTGAGGACTACTGGAGTTTGTTTCCACGTGCCCGTAGAGCCATTGTGTTTTTAAGCCTTTAGACATCGTGGGGTTTCTGGTTAGTTAGGTAGGTTAGAGATGTCTAGGTGTACTTTGAGTAAGCAATAAACGTAATATATATAATTGTGATTAATGAATAGCTTGTCTCCCGAACCTGCGGTGCCGATGTGGAAGATTCGCGATTAACTTATAGAAACAAGGCATTGTTTTTACCTCGACTATTGTATCATAGTGTCTTTTCAACGTTCCTTTCATGCTTCGGAGCTTGAAAAAAATCCCCTTGTCATCGATTGTTAAAGAAAGGGGTGTCTTTTGTCGATATAAATAATGTATGGCATTTCTTGCTAGAAGGTCCGAAATGGACTATGGATCGATGATTTTGTTTACTGCTGAAGGTCAAAGAGGTTACCATTGAGATTGAACTTCTCCCAAAGATTTCTCTTCTTGATTGCTTCCACTTTCTGTTGCTTTCTCACTTTTTGAGCCATAGGTTCAATTTATTCTCGATTTGTCTGGTGGACTCTTTATCACGAGGTCGGAGAGGTGTGTAATATATATCAGGAGTTATCAGGCTGGGCAGGCAATGCCTATGTGGCTATGTTACCTCGGTACCTAGGTAGTCATTTCTTGTAGGGAAGACTGTTTGTTCGATTATAGGTTAATTTTCTTCGCAATCATTCAACCAGATCCAGTCTAAGTCGCCTACAGACTTAATTCTCGATTGGTCTAGTGGTAAGGATACCTGCTTGTCATTCAAGTCTGTCGACCCTACAGTTTGTGGATTCGCTGTCACAGAATTGCAGATCGCAGGTGGCCGGGGTTCGATTCCCCGATCGAGAGAGGTTATTTTTGTTTCACTCATATCTTCGATTATCAAATTTTAATTTATTTTTGCAGTGATATAGTTAGATCTTACTTTGCGGAGGGTAGATCATTTTTCCTATTTAGCTGCCCATCTTATCGGTTAGCCCTTATTATCATTAGCTTAGAGGATTCGGGCAAGGAGGGCGTTGCTTGGATTATCATCGGATGCTTTGGCTCGCGCTTCTAGTCAGAGGTAATAGGCATTAATAAAACATTCGATATGGACTGTGAGGTTATCAGCTACAGAAATGAGAAATTCTCAAGATTAAATGTACATTTCATAGCACGTGCTGATCCTCAGTGGAAAGCATACCAAGTAATTATCTCTATATTACTATGTTGTGCTCTTTGAGTCCAGGCGCAGCCGCTGGAAAAGAAGAATCAAGCGGCCGGTAACCTTAATTGCACTGGCTCTATGCCAGACAGTCTCTCAGCATCAAGACTTGAGGAGGCATGACAGTAGGCAAGCACAAGCCAATAAACTAGTCTTTAACCATCAATTCTATCCTCTGAACTCCTTTTCCCGTTCCTCTATAATCAGTCTACGTAGGTCGGTAACGCTGATTTTATCGAATGATCATGTCCTCGCGGTCTTTGCCAGTTCCAATATAACCCACCTATGCATCTTAGTAATCACGAAATGAGCATAAGACCATATTTGACAACGTACCTTGATACTAATCTCCGACTCGATAAGCTCGATGTATTTTTGGGCTTGAGGGGGGAGATCGAGCCATGTCCGTAGTCCCTGGGTTGAGCTCTGCCAGCCCTCGAACTCGATGTACTCAGGCGTACATTTCTCGAGCTAGAATAATTAGAACCTAGAGAATAATGAGACAGTTATAAATACTCACGAAGTTCAAGTCAGCAGGAAAACTCGTGATCCTTTCTCCATCAGGGGTGGTGTATGCCACAGCGACCCGAATCGTTGGGAATGTATCCAAAACATCAACTATGTATCTCAGTCAATGATTCTATTAAGAGAAGGTTGGGCAGCCCATGGTTGCCAGGTCTTACGCTTGGTTAAGTTGAGAGTGGTATAGTCTATGAAGGTGTAGGTTAGTATTATATGGTATGCAACAGGTGTCAACTATAAGCCACTTACAATTCACAGCAGCGGAGTGTTTGAGAACCACAAGATCAAGCCAACCGCATCTTCTCCTTCTACCAGTAGATACGCCCTACGAAGGCTTTAGCCCAGGCCGATGGGATTATGAAAAGGCGTGTTTAGGAAAGCTTACAATCTCTCCACCGATGTCCTGTAGTTTCGTGCCGACTTCTCCATGTTGTTCTGTGGGGAAAGGCCCACCACCAACTCGCGTTGTCTGTAAGCCAATCATCTTAGTAAAACCTCAGGTCAAATTAAGGGTTCTTGTTTCAACTTACGTATGCTTTGACAACGCCAATGATGCTCCTATGAAATTTGGGTGAGCCTCACGACGAGGATGCAGATAGAGCACCGCAAATACTATCATATTTCATGGATCCTACTATGAAAGACAAACTTACTTGATGTTAAAGGGGCTGATGGCTAAGCCCTGAATGCAACCACCAACGGAGCAGTTCGAGGACGTAACGAAAGGGTAGCTGCCATAGTCCAAATCGAGCACTAGTATCAGTCAGCCAAATTGTTCCTGTTAAATTAACTTTCAACCTTTCAACATACTCAAAGCTTGTGAGCCCTCGACGAGAATGGAGCGCTTCTGCTCCTGTGCGACTTTCATGTACTCTACAGCGTCAATGATATAAGGTCGCAGCTTTTCCCTAATGTTTGCAAACTTCTGGATCTCTTCCTCGACATCGTATACAAGGAGTTCACCATATCGTGCGCGATAGGCACCGGCTAACGTTCGTAGCTTAGTTGCGAAATCATCATGGTAGATATCATTCACTCTCAGGCCGTCTCGAGCGGCTTTCGTGCTGTAGGATGGGCCAATGCCTCTCTGGGTCGTTCCGATTTGGCTCTTGCCAAGTGCCTTCTCGGAAAGTCCATCAACAGCCGCGTGCAAGGTGAGGTTCAAGTGGCACCGCGAGCTGACATGGATGCGCTTGTGAACGTCGGGCACGCCCTTGGCATCGAGGTCGGCTAGCTCTTCGAAGAAGGCGTCGACATTGAAGACGACGCCGGATCCTATCAGATTGTCGGTACTGGGGCTGACCAAGCCGGACGGCAGCAGATGGAAAGAGAACTTTTGAGTGCCGGTGCTATAAGACAACCTTGGTAAGCGGAGATGTACATGGACACGTTGGTGATAGCACAATTGCCGTACTGGATGGAATGACCAGCGTTATGGCCACCTGCCGCACGCGCGCAGATGTCGAATGAGTTTGCAGCCAGAAGGTTGTCCGTCAATTTCCCCTTCTGTATAACGAACAGTCAGTCAACAATACCGTACCTCCAGAAAGTCGGGATTGAGCTGGGCGTGGACATACGCCTTCGTCTCCTACACACGAATTGAGTTATTTTCAGATCCAGGCCACACGTGGTCGCCCCGGTACCAGCGATCCCATCACCTCACTGCCCCTCCATGTTTGGTGCCAGTATGCGCCACCATCGAGAGCAAAGCAAGGCGAAGGTTGGTCTGGGTCGAGTTGTGGTAGAAGGTTACTCACCCCATTGGGAGCCGAGAATGATGGAGACCATGGCGTTAGAATGATGGATTCACTGCTGCTGGTCGACGATGAGAGAGACCCAAGAACTGTAGGCAAACGACCAGAAAAAAGTCGCAGAAGAAATGACGCTCAAGACGGACCGGCTACGGAGATGCAAACGCGACACGACGGTGCAGAACACTGAGATGGTGGGGTGGGGGCATGGAGGGGCATTGGAGGGGCATCTAGAGGGGCATCTGGAGGGCTGCAGCCAGCTACCTACCTAGGTACCTAGCTGAAGGAGAGAAAGAAGCCCTATAGTGGCCTAGGTAGTGTCCAATGACGGGCTGTGCTCCGGCTAAACTGTGTCAGCACTTCAGTTTACGCAGTAGCTGTGTTCCAACTGTTGCGGTCATACGGCAATTTAGATACCTAGAACCCTGTCGACTCGAGGTAATTACCCTTTCCCCCTTCCGACCCCGGTAAGCTAGGCCTACTTACGTCCAATGTATCTAATCTAACGCGTATGCATATGTATACTTATGTAAGTGCCTGAACCATTCATCTTTAGAAATTAGTACTTGGCTTTGTTCCGAGAACAAAACTCTGGGTGACGTCATTGGTCCTTTAAGCGATCGAAGAGTCGTGGTTAGAGAAACACCAAAAAATAAACACAAGCCACGCAATGCTGAGAGGAATATTTCCGTGTCATGACACACAGATCGAGGGGCTTTATTTAACCTAGCATTTACGCTACAAGCCACGGTAGCAAAACATTCATTGGGTTCCACCAGCGAATAACGTGTAAGAGGTAGGGATGGTATCAAATGTTACCAAACAATATACACTCCGTTGTTTGGGACCTCATCTTTGGTTAATCGATCCTAGCCTGTCCTCAGAGGCGACTTTAAATAGAAAGCTGCACATGACTGGGATTGCTGAGAATAGTATCTAGAATGAAAGGATAATTATTCAGGAAGGCACAACATTTAAACTATTATTTAAGAACTGTGAAGAAAATGAAATACGATGGGCGTTTACTGGACTGACCTACCATTTCGCCTACCAAGGTTGATAGGTAAGTAGTATACATACCAGGTTACGCAGTCAAACATAGGAGCACCAATCTGTTATTACTAATCACGTGCTGAGCTGCTCCTTATCAGCTATCAGTGTTTGTAAATACCTACCTGTGGTGGGGTCGGGTAGGTATTGGGGACTGAGACATATCTAAATCATCACCCAAGGGAGCGCAATCAACTTTTCATAAGCCACAAAAGAAAAATTTTCGCTCTCTCTATAAACGAAACTCACTTTTCTTGTTTACGGTCAAAATGAGGCTCAAGGACGTGCACCGGATAGAATTGCCGCCAGCGGCGGACATGCATGTCCACTTGCGCCAGGGCCAGGTCTGTGGTATCATTTTCTCTGGTTCATCCTGTATCGTCTGTACTGATTTCTTGCAGGTCATGAACCTGGTAGTCCCCTACATTCGAAGGGGAGGAGTAGACACCGTATTTGTCATGGCATGTGAAAACTAGAAATTACGTTAATCTGCCGAAGACCCAAGCTAACTCTTGTTAATAGCCAAATCTGCAACCACCCGTCACTAGTGTTGGTGCTGCTCTGGAATACAAGTCTCAGCTGCAGGCTATCGAACCTGAAGTCAATTATTTGATGTCTCTCTACGTGAGCCGCCTACAACCTGATTTGAACTTCATTATAGGTTGACGATAGACAGTTGCACCCTTCCGTTACCCCTGATGTAATTGCTGAAGCTGCAAAAGCCGGTATTGCAGGGGTCAAGCTGTACCCTCAAGGTATCTATCATCACATTTTATTACTACCTCAAGTCCATGATATTAACATCGAGATAGGCGTCACTACAAACTCTGAATCGGGAGTCGCCGGTGACTTCGTTGAGATTTATGCGCCCACTTTCGCAGCCATGGAGCAGCACGATATTGTGCTGAACTTACATGGAGAGGTACCTGGAACTGTGCCAACAGATGATGTCTCACTCGAAGAGCTCTTTCTGCCCACTTTAAAGAGGCTAAACGAGAAATTCCCGAAACTTCGTATCGTCCTCGAGGTGGGTCTTAGCTCTGAACAGTTCTTTCGACATTATTATATTCTAACATCAAGTATTTAGCACTGCTCCACTGCTGCAGCAGTTGATGCGGTCCGAGCCTGTGGCCCAACTGTCGCCGGTAAGCTCAGTATTCCAACTCTTAATCACAGGAGCTAGTTTATGTTATTACTGATAGAGTCTAATACATGTTGCTGCTCAGGTACGATAACGGCGCACCACTTATATTTAACAGGTGACATAAGTGAGGTAGACCCTCACGCCTTTTGCAAGCCAATCCCAAAGACGCCCTCCG